TCCAGTCTTGTTCTGTCGTGTGTGTGTTGTGTGTGTGTGTTCAGGTCTTGGTTCTGTCATCGTGTGTGTGGTGGTGCATGGTGGTGTGGTGCAGGTCTTGTTCTGTCATCTGTGTGTGTGTGTGTGTGTGTCAGGGTCTTGTTCTGTCATCGTGTGTGTGTTGTGTGCGTGTGTGTGTGTCAGTCTTGGTTGCTGGTATCGAACTGGGAGTGCAGTAGTATAACGGCCCTCATGCAGCCCACTTCCGGCTCGATGATTCTCCCCGTCAGGCGTCCTGAGTAGGTTGGCACTTACAGCTGTTAAACCACTACACCTGGGCTTTTTTTTTTTTTTTTTGAGAAAGTCTTCGCTGTTCCACCCAGGCTGAGTGCAGTGGTGCCATCTCGGCAACTGCAAGGCTCCGCTCCCGGGGTTCCACGCCATTCTCCTGCCTTCAGCCTCCGAGTAGTGGACTAGGCGCCTGCCCGGCCACGCCTGGCAATTTTTTTGCATTTTTAGTTCGGACGGTTTCACAGGTGTTAAGCCAGGATGTTCTCCATCCCTGGACCTGTGATTCTGCCCTGCCTTTGGCCCTCGCCAAGTGCTGATTACAGGCGTGAGCCACCGCACCTGGCACTTTTTTTATTTTTTTTTTCTTTTTTAAGATGGGTCTCATTCTGTCAACCAGGGACACAGGCTGGAAGCAATGGCAAATTCGCTCCACTGCAACCTCTACCTGCCCCAGATTCAAGCGATTCTTCGCCTTCAGCTCCCCCAAGCAGGCGAGGACTAGAGGCACACGCCACCATCAAGCCTGGCTAATATTTACACACACACACACACACACACACACACACAGCTTTCCCAGAAGTCCTGGCAAAACTGGCCTTCTAGAAAAAGAAAAATGAACACCTCTGCTGGAAGATTAAGAGCCTAGGACAAGGTAACTGACATCAATCTTATCTAACCAGGGGAAAAAAAATCCACATATGAGAAGAAATATATCCCATTTCCACATGAGCCTCTCAATACAAATCAGAGTGGTCCCAAATGGCCTTAAGAAGGTACCTATTTCAAAAGCTTAGAAGAAGTAGTCATTTATTTTCTAAAAAAGGATCTACCTGTTTTTATCTGACTCAGAGAAAAAGTCTATTTTATTTCCTTTTTCCTTTTTTTTTAGACAGAGTCTAGGTCTTACTCTGTCACCGAGGCTGGAGTGCAGTGGTGCAATCACAGTTCGCTGCAACCTTGATCTCCCAGGCTCAGGCAATCCTCCCACCTCAGCCTCCTGAGTAGCTGGGACCACAGGTATGCGCCACCGCGCTCACATAATTTTTGTATTTTTTGTAGAGACAGGATTTCACCATGTTGCCCCGGCTGGTTTTGAACCCCTGAGCTCAGGTGATCTGCCCATCTCGGCCTCCCAAAGTGCTAAGATTACAGGCGTGAGCCAAAACTCTATTTTATTTCTAAAGCACTATCTGGTTTAAAAGCATGATATAAAAGGAAACAAAATTAAATATTCTCATAGACCTCACATACACCCAAATCCTCTTTTCAAATCTTTTTTTTTTTCTTTATTATTATTATACTTTAAGTTCTAGGGTACATGTGCATAACGTGCAGGTTTGTTACATATGTATACTTGTGCCATGTTGGCGTGCTGCACCCATCAACTCGTCAGCACCCATCAACTCGTCATTTACATCAGGTATAATTCCCAATGCAATCCCTCCCCCCTCCCCCTCTCTTTTCAATTCTTAAAAGCACAGTGACGATGGATTCCTCTAAGCCAGCAGTGAAAACGAACCTTGAACTGGGAGCTGACTGTAGGCCGCCGATGTTTGCTTCCACATTTCAAGGTATCCTGGTTGTTGCGGCTTGAAACATGTTCAAAAAGATCGTAGATAAAGTCAAATCTGTGTGAGGCAAGAGCAGGACAACAGTGAGGCACACACACCCATTATTAGGTGCAAGATGACTGTAATTAATGGTGCCCTTTCCCAATGATAATTTACAGTAATACACCCTAGGCCTGGAAGAACTAAGACAGCTTCTGAAGATTTCAAACCAACCCCTGCCAAAGAGCTTTAGGCACTGAAAACACATGGCAGTGTCAGAGATCAGAGTCTGGCAGAGAAGGGGACTGGCATGACAGTGACAAAGGGTGGAATCCCACTTAGGAGCTCTGTGCTTTCTGGAATGCCATGGAAGCCTCTGTAGCCTCAGTCTGCTCACCTGCAAAAGTGAGATATTTGTTTTGCCCATCTTGCAGTGTTGCAAAGATTGAAGCAGTTAACGGATGGAAAGGTGCCCCTGGGGAACACTAATTACAGGGTGAGGCAAGCAATGGTTCAAATCCTGTCTCTCCCACTTCCTAGCTGTGTTGGTTGGGCAAGATGTTTCATCTCTCTCTTAGCCTCAATTTTTTCATCTGGAAAATGGAAGTAATTTTTGAATTTATCCCCTAATGCCAGGGTGAGAATGAAAGGGGGAACATGTATGTAAAAGGTAGAAAGCATGGTACCTGGGATATCATATATGTTGATGTTAGTTATTATCAAAAAGTTCTGTAAAATCCATTGCTACTATTAACAAGGTAAAAGTGAAAAGCTTCCCAATAATTTTTTTTTTTTTAGACAGATTTTCGCTTTTTCACCCAGGCTGGAGTGCAGTGATGCGATCTCGGCTCTGCAACCTCTGCCTCCCGGGTTCCAGTGATTCTCCTATTTCAGCCTTCTAAGTAGCTGGGATTCCAGGCGCCTGTCATCATGCCTGGCTAATTTTTTTTTATTTTGTAGTAGAGACGGGGTTTCACCATGTTGGCCAGGCTGGTCTTGAAACTCCTGACCTCAGGTGATCCACCCGCCTTGGCCTCCCAAAGTGCTAGGATTATAGGCGTGAGCCACTACACCCAACCTTCAATAATTTTTTAATCTTCCTTGCATGGAAGGTATCATGGGCTACGGAGCTGGCAGGGTTAGTGGCTTCACTGTCGCCAAGACAGTCGGGGAAGACTTCTGAGCATCTGTCTCCCCACAAGCGGCAATATTACACCTTTCCCTGGTCGCTTCGTGCTTCGCCCCAACCTTTTTCATTTTTGTTCTTGGGTTCTCTTTAATGCTTACTCTTTGAAGTTCTCTAACTGTGCTTTGAGGTCTTTGGAGAAAAGCTTTGGTTCCATTAATATGTCACAGATGTCAAAGGTGAAAGCGAGTGAAGCAAGCGAACAGGCCCGGCTCCTCGGTTTGTAAAGGGAAACCTGGGGTCGAGACAGGAAGTTCTTTACCCCTCAGAAAACTGCTTCATGCTAGCACAGAGGCAGCTGGTGAAACTCCACCTCGCTGGTCTCCAGGCCTGCAATCTTTTCACTTTGACAAACTGCCTCTACTTAACATCAATACAGGGCTTTTATTAAAACGTATTGCATTAAATCGCATTAAACTAAGAAACTGCTTTGACAGCATGCTATCGTGTTTTTTAAACACCCATCACTTTTACAGGTGTAAAAACTCACCTAAAAATAAAATAGCTAACAATGTTGTAAATAGCGATTCCTCACACAGAAGAGTTAAAATAAGTTTGAAGATCAAATGTTTCAAATTCTGAGTTTCTAGGCTGATACTACCTTATATGGGCTCCCTTTGTCCCAATTCATTTCTATCTAAGTGACAGGTGGCCATCTAGTATATACATTTCAAAAAGTAGTACAGCTTTTAAACTTTTTTGCTACTTTCCTTCTTCAGATATTAAAAATGTGTTTTTGTTACAGATTCCCATCAGATCCAACACAGGTGCTGAAAGCTTTCAGGTGACGGTTTTTTCCCTAAACTCTTTCTCTCTTACAAAGCCTCCTAAAAATACGACACTTCCGCCAGGCGCGGTGGCTCATGCCTGTAATCCCAGCACTTTGGGAGTCCGAGGCAGGTGGATCACGAGGTCAGGAGATCGAGACCATCCTGGCTAACATGGTAAAACCCCGTCTCTACTAAAAATACAAAAAAATTAGCCGGGCATGGAGGCGGGCGCCTGTAGTCCCAGCTACTCGGGAGGCTGAGGCAGGAGAATGGTGTGAATCCGGGAGGCGGAGCTTGCAGTGAGCTGAGATTGCGCCACTGCACTGCAGCCTGGGCCACAAAGCAGACTCCATCTCAAACAAAAACAAAAACAAAAACAAAATAGGACACTTCCTGGTCTAAAATATACAAATAGCTAAACTAATCACTGAAAGTTTCTGTGTGTTTTCTTTATTGATTTAATGGTGAAAATTTATAATTCATGAATGAATAAATGAATATGTAATAAATTTATAATTATAGCTGAATTAAGGCATATTTTACTAACTAGAGACACAGGAGTCCATAAAACCAAGGCTGAAATCAACCACACAGCTCTAAGCTCCCCATGAAGAAAGCAGGTCACACTGCTTAAGATGTTAGGCTCTCAAGCCAACCAGACCAGATCAAAACTGGAATTGATGGCTCACTGGTTACCAGTTGAGAGGTCTTGGGGAAGTCACTTAACAGCTTTAACTGCTCCAAGCCTCAGTTTCCTCATCTGCATAAAAGAGGACTAATAACAGTACATTACTTATGCCTCTGAGGTTGGTTTATTTCAGTACCTCACTAAACGGCAGTCATTGCTTGTATTATTATTATTTTTTTTTTTTGAGACAGAGTCCCAGGTTCATGCCATTCTCCTGCCTCAGCCTCCTGAGTAGCTGGGACTGCAGGTGCCTGCCACTATGCCCAGCTAATTTTTTGTATTTTTAGTAGAGACGGGGTTTCACCGTGTTAGCCAGGATGGTCTCCATCTCTTGACCTTGTGATCCGTCTGCCTCGGCCTCCCAAAGTGCTGCAATATTACAGGCATGAGCCACTGCACCAAGCCTGCCTGTATTATTATTATTATTATTAATTTTTTTTTTTTTTTGAGACAGAGTTTCACCCTTGTCACCCAGGCTGGACTGCAATGGCACAATCTTGGGTCACTGCAACCTCCACTTCCCACGTTGAAGCAATTCTCCTGTTTCAGCCTCCCAAGTAGCTGGGATTACAGGTGCCTGCCACCATGCTTGACTAATTTTTGTATTTTCAGTAGAGATGGGGTTTCTCTATGTTAGCCAGGCTGGTCTCAAACTCCTGACCTCAGGTGATTTGCCCACCTTGACATCCCAAAGTACTAGGATTACAGGCGTGAGCCACCGTGCCCGACCTTGCTTGTATTATTATGTTATACTTTTGAGTTATTTCATTGATGAAATATTACCTGGGGAAAACAATATTAAGTTTCTTACATAACAGCAATTTGTTCTATATTTGGGAATTAAAAGCATTTACACAAACATTCATTTACTTGCTAAGGACTTCTCAGGGAGAAGACTGACATACCGGCTTTCTCTTAGCAAATTGAGAAGGTCATCTCGAAATGTATCTCTGTTCTTCTCCAAGATACCTCGAACATCATATTGCACCTAGTTTTAAGAAATAAGAGGGGAGAAAACTATTGAAAGAATAGTTTCAGGTCATAAGCAACCTCCCTGAAAGATCCACAAAAAGAAATCATTCCAATAAACGTATTTATTTAGTTTTTAAGAGACAGGGTCTTGCTCTATTTCCCAGGCTGAAGTGCAGTGACGTGATCATGGCTCATGCAGCCTCTAATTCCTACGCCCAAGCAATCCTCCCACCTCGGCCTCCAGAACAGCTAGGACAACAGATGTGTCACCATGCCAGGCTAACTTTTTATAAAATATCTTGTAGATATTTTTTGTATCTACGGTGCCCAGACTGGTCTCAAACTCCAGTCCTCAAGTGACCCTCCTGACTCAGCCTCCCAAAGTACTGGGACTATAGGCTCATGTGAGCCACCATACCAAGCCCAATAAATTCACGATTGGTTCTGAAACTACTGTTTTCTCTGACTATCAAACAGGCGAATATCAATAGGTATCTTAATAAAAAGTTACCTCTCCAGCATAGTGCTTCACTCCAAAATTGTTAACCGCAACTCTGGGCTTCACATAAAAGTGGTTATTCTTAAAAAAAAAAAAAATTAGAAATAAAAATACAATGCCTTATTTCACTCACTGATTTCCCTTGACTTCCAGAGAACACTAAATACAACAGACAGTGAAAATCTTTCCAAACTTGCCATGGATCTGCGTTTCAGGACACGGCATATGGTGCACTTTATAAAAACCATGTTAACTCTCAACTGTGTCATTGTAATAGATTAACAATTTTATGTTCTCTAAATAAGCTTGGGCATTCTGACAAGTAGCCCCAAATCTAACCCTTTTGCTTATTTCAATTTAGTTCTGGTAACAGGAGAACATCTTTGGTTTGAGAATAAAAGTTCAATGTGGGAAGCACAGTTGGGCCAGTGGACTGACATGTCTGGTTCGTAACCCCAACCCACAGATGTGCTACTTCGATGTGATTAAGAATTGCAGGTTTCGACATACAGCATGCTGACTGTGTAGCTTCTCCAGTAAGGTGCTGTCTGTGGCTTGAGGAAAATGGCTTTCTTCATTGATAAGGGCTAGGAGGCCAAGTTTCTAGAAGAAAGAAGAAAAAGAAGAAATGAATTAAAAGTTGAATGTGGCTGGGTGCGTGGTAGCTCATGTCTGTAATTCCAGCCCTTTGGAAGGCCAAGACAGGCAGATCATTTGAGGTCAGGAGTTCAAGACCAGCCTGGCCAACACAGTGAAACCTTGTTTCTACTAAAAATACAAAAATATTAACTGGGTATGGTAGGCACACCTGTAATCCCAGCTACTGGGGAGGCTGAGGCGGGAGAATCACTTGAACCTGGGAGACAGAGGTTGCAGTGAGCCAAGATTGTGCCACTGTACTCCAGGCTGGGCGACAGAGTGAAACTCCGTCTCAGAAAGAAAAAAAAAAAGAAAAAAAGTTGAATGTGTGCGTCCCAAACTGTTTTGAGAGCTCTTCTCTACTCTTTATCAAATGAGTGGTTAAAAGAAAAAGCATGGTAATTTCTTGATTGGAAAATCCATAATGATACACTATAGAGAAAACCAATTAAATTCTACGTAAATCTTAAAAAAAAAAAATTGAACCCATTGCAATTCTGTGGATAAAACTTCTACTTCTGTGGATAAAACTTTTACAACTGCCAAATCTATATTGGTACTGGCAAGGTTTTGCTTCTGCCTTAAAATCTAAGGGAAGCCAATTCACACACTGCTGATTCTAAAATACTGAGTTCAATGAGACAATAGGTTTGAAGCGGCCAAGTATTTAAATTCAACCTTGCACATTTACATTTAGGTTTCCAAACAGTCCATTGTGTTCTAAACATTCACATCTTTGATGTGCGTGTTCGTGCACGTTATTTTGTTCCCATAAATATGAATCAGACCAGCTGGACCCCCTTGGGACTGCAACCATTTTTCAAAAATACATTACCTTCTCAATCAAGTCCAGGCATTCTCCATTGTCTATCCAGTCAATATCTTCCCACACTAATCCTTCCCTGTAGAAAGATTTTAAATAGCCAAGTTAAATGAAAACTTAGCTTCAAAACTATCTAATCTAGTTGCTGCTTTAAAAAAAAAATGGAAATAGAATTTTATGAGTGCTTACCGGCTATATTCTAGTTGTTCTAAAGAAAAAATATGCTTGTTGAAGTATTCCTGAAGTTTCTCATTTGCATAGTTTATATTGAACTGTTCAAAGTGATTAACCTAAGGGGAGAAAGCATTCAATAAGTATCTTTAGCGCACTCACGATTACATGGAAAGGTGAAGAAAAGACAAAACAAAGATCTGCAGAGAAAAATATCAGTGCTTGTTGCCTGGCACAGTGGCTCACGCCTACAATGCTAGCACATTGCGAGGCCAGGGTGGGCAGATCACCTGAGGTCGGCAGTCAGAGACCAGCCTGACCAACATGGTGCAACCCCATCTCTACCGAAAATACAAAAAAATTAGTGGCCCGTGGTGACAGGCACCTGTAATCTCAGCTACTTGGGAGGCTGAGGTGGGAGAATCACTTGAACCAGGAGGTGGAAGTTGCAGTGAGCTGAGATCACACCACTGCACCCCAGCCTGGGAGACAGAGTGAGACTCCTTCGGAAAAAAAAACAAAAGAGAGTTTGCTTACAGAGATTTGCTCAACAGCAGCTAATCATGGACAGAAGAGAAGTCATGTGCTGCACTGTTAGTAAGTCTACCTCAAAGTTTTCAAATCCAAAGATGTCGAGGATGCCAATAGACTTGAAGTCCTCTTTGCCTTTGATCCTGCTGTTGATCTTTTTGATCACCCACTCAAAGCAGCATGCATACAGAGCCATGGCCAGGGAGTCCCTGCTGTCTACTGCCTGTGGGGAGAGGAAGCGGCACAGACTCAGCTGACCCTGGCACCCAGATAGGCAAGGCCATCCCCACCCCACTCGAGAGACACACACAAGACTAGCATAGCATCTGGCCCTCCAGTGTGAAGTCAATCGATACCATCTAGGAAAGGACAGATATTTAAAGAAACGATAAACTGGAGCTCACATATTTCCTTTCTGTTAAGATTAAACGCCAGGATTCCAAACTCAACTTGCTATGTTGAATTACACAGAAGAATCTAGACTATATATACGGGTACAAATGTTAGCAGGTTTAAAACAATAATTAAGATGTGAGCTCTTTTTTAAAATTTTCTGATTTTCTATTATACTTTGTATTTACAAAGTTTTTCTTCATAATACGGTCAGCATTTTTATTTATCCAATTAAAAACATATTAGAAGAGTGTGATGGTTAATACTGAGTGTCAACTTGATTGCAGGATACAAAGTATTAATCCTGGGTGTGTCTGTGTGGGTGACATCTGAGTCAGTGGGTTAAGGGAAGCCACATCCATCCTTAATCTGGTGGGCAAAATCTTTTTTTTTTTTTTTTTTTTTTGGGAGATGATGGTAGATGCTTTGTTCTCTCAATAACAGCAATGGGATGCTGTTGAAAGCACTTGAGGTGGGGAAGTGGGTATGACATATTTTGTGTTTGTAAAATTATCACATTGTCTTACCAAACTAAATATGCTCTTTATTTTTTATTTTTAAATTTTACTTTAAGTTCTTGGATACATGTGCAGGTGGTGGGCAAAATCTAATCAGCTTCCAGTGAAAATAAAGCAGGCAGAAAAATGTGAAAAGGCAAGATTGGCCCAGCCTCCCAGCCTACATCTTTCTCCTGTGCTGGACGCTTCCTGCCCTAGAACATCAGACTCCAAGTTCTGCAGTTTTGGGACTCAGACTGGCTCTCCTTGCTCTTCAGCTTGCAGAAGGCCTATTGTGGGACCTTCTGATCGTGTAAGTTAATACTTAATAAACTCCCCTTTCTATCTATCTATCTATCTATCTATCAATCAATCAATCAATCATATTAATTCTGTTCCTCTAAGAGAACCCTGATACAAAGAGCTAGCACATATACATTTGCTCAAGGCAGCAGCAGAGGCAAAAATAAATAAAACATATTATTATATTGTCTTCATTATAATACATTATTGTTATTGTTGTAGGTAATGTTTATTTAGTGCTTACTCCATACCAGACATTAAATGCTCAGCATATATTTGTTGTTTTTAGTCTTACAAAAATCCTATGAATTAGGTGTAATTATCCTTGTCTTATAGCGGAGGAAACTGAGGCATAGTGACTAAATTTCCCAAGAGCAGACAGTAGTAAGTGGGTCAAGTTCAAAGTCAGGCAATCTGCATTCGACCCATCCTGTTAAACAATAATCAGATGTTGTTTTACACAATTAGACAGCAATTCAATAGCTTTGTCTATTCCCAATCCTCGGGTATCTTCTTTATTTTGATCATGAACCAAAGTCATTTGAACAGTTATTAATACATTACAGTTACAATATAACTGTTATCATAGTTACATATTTGAATCAAACCTATGGATCTGAAAACCCAGGAGTGTGTAGTAAGGCAGGATTGGATGGCAAAGCATGTGTACCTGTTGAACATTGAGAGGCGTGAGGATCTCTTCTCCCCTGAGGAACATTGATCTCTGGGTCAGAGCATCTGTGAGCTGTGTTGGGTCCAGCCCAAGTAACTCTGCAGATCTGCCCAAAGCTGCAAACAGAGAATAAGACAAAGGTGAATGAACCCATCGCCCCTGAGAAGCTAACCAGGCTGAGTGATACCTTAACGCAGAGAACACTCCTGAATCCCTCAGGCAGAGTTTAGAGACTGTATGTTATTGCTAAGTTGTTCACTCCCTTAGTGAATCCTAGGTTAGTAGCATAGAGCCTCGTGCTTGGACGAAGTGTGGCCTGGGAATCCCATGGGTGTCCCCAAGATCCTGTCAGAGGTTTGCAACTACTTCCTTTTTTTTTTTGAGATGGAGTCTCACTCTATAGCCCAGGCTGGAGTACGGTGGCATGATCTCAGCTCACTGCAACCTCTGTGTGCTGGGTTCAAATGATTCTCCTGTCTCAGCCTCCTGAGTATTTTCAGTAGAGACAGGGTTTCACCATGTTGGCTAGACTGGTCTTGAACTCCTGGCGTCAAGTGATCTGCCTGCCTTGGCCTCCATGCCCGGCCTACTACTTTCATTAATAACAGTAAGATGTTATCAGCTCTTTTCATTCTAATTCTTTTTCCCCCAGGTATATCAGAAGAGTATTCTAAAGGCTACACAACATGAGATATCTTCAACCAATTAAATGCAGAAGAAGATATGACAACCGGACTTTTTTTTTTTTTTTTTGAGATAGAGTCTTGCTTTGTCTCCCAGGCTGGAGGACAGTGGCATGATCTCGGCTCACCCGAAACCTCCGCCTCCTGGGTTGCAAGCGATTTTCTCTTGCCTCAGCCTCCGAGTAGCGAGGATTACAGCACCCCGCACCCACAATGCCTGGCTAATTTTCTATTTTTAGTGGAGATGGTTTTTTGTGTTTGTTGTTGTTGTTTTGAGATAGAGTCTTGCTTTGTCTCCCAGGGCTGGAGTGCAGTGGCGTGATCTCGGCCACGGCAACCCTCCGCCTCCTGGTCAAAGCAATTCTCTTGGCCTCAGCCTCCGAGTAGCTGGAGATTACGGGCACCCGCCACCACAACGCCTGGTTAATTTTCGTATTTTAGTGGAGATGGGGTTTTTTGTTGTTGTTGTTGTTTTGAGATAGAGTCTTGCTTTGTCTCCCAGGCTGGAGTGGGAGTGGGCGTGATCTCGGCTCACTGCAACCTCCCCTCCTGGGTTTCAAGTAATTCTCTTGCCTCAGCTCCCTGAGTAGCTAGGATTACAGGTTGCCTGCCCCCACCATGCCTGGCTAATTTTTGTATTTTAGTAGAGATGGGTTCACCCTGTTGGCCTGGCTGGGTCTCAAACTCCTGACCTCAGATGATCCACCTACCTCGGCCTCCAAAGTTTTGGGATTACAGGTGGAGGCCCACTGTTGGCCCAGCGTCCAACTGTCATTTCAATATGTCAGGACATTAAAGAAATTTGAAAAAGATAAGATAATGTGGACTATCCTTACTGTTTTTCTGATTTGGAAGAGGTCTTTTAAATAAAAATAGAATATTTATTTTAGTATGCAATGGGGTTTATTATGTTTCTTTTTAATTGAATAAATAATTTTTTTGTTGTTTTGTTTTTTTTTGAGACGGAGTCTCGCTCTGTCGCCCAGGCTGGAGTTGCAGTGGCCGGATCTCAGCTCACTGCAAGCTCCGCCTCCGGGATTCACGCCATTCCTCCTGCCTCAGCCTCCCCAAGTAGCTGGGGACTACAGGCGCCCGCCACCTTCGCAGGCTAGTTTTTGTCATCTTTTTAGTTAGAGACGGGTTTCATTGTGTTAGCCAGGATGGTCTCGATCTCTACCGTGATCCACCCATCTCGGCCTCCAAAGTGCTGGGATTTACAGGCTGAGCCACCGCGGCCCGAGTCCGCTCACCTCTGAATAAATAATATTTTTTTAAACATCTCATTTTAACTTTTAATTAGAAGTTTTAACTTTTTTTTTGAGACACAGTCTCACTTTGTCACCCAGGCTATAGTGTTGTGGTGTGATCTTTGCTCACCGCAACCTCCACCTCCTAGGTTCAAGAGACTCTCATGCCTCAGTCTCCCCAAGTAGCTGGGATTACAGGCACACACCACCACGCCTGGCTAATTTTTGTATTTTTAGTAGAGATGGGGTTTCACCATGTTGGACAAGTTGGTCTCGAACTCCTGACCTCAAGTGATCCACCTGCCTCATCCTTCCAAATTGCTAGGATTACAGGCATGAGCCACTGTGCCCAGCCAAAAAGTTTTAACTTTTAATGTGGTCAACATCAACAGATACAGCCCACATAAACAAAAGCTCTCTGGGGTTCTGTGATTTTTGAGAATATTAAGAGGTACTGGGTGGAACCAGACACTTGAGAATTACTGGCCTACAGTACCGGTCTCCTCTAGAACCACTTTGAACTTGAACTCATCTAATTTCCAGCTTCCATGACCTCATCTATTGCTTCCATCAGAAAAGTTTTAAAAAGTAATACATAAATCACTCAAGCAAAATGACAACTGACATAGCTATATGTTAACTCATTTTATCTTGACAGCAAATCTCTGAGACACTGTACAGGTGAGAAGTCACGAGTGTTCAGGGGATAAATAACACAGGAAACAGCATGAAGCAGGGAAGGGCTATGAACCCAGCATCCTGGCTTGCAAAACAAAGGGTCTTAACCATTCTACCACACTGGCACTCAACAGGACGATGCCACCTGACTCTCAACACTTTCCTATGTTGATTCCTGGTGGCTCATATTTCCACATATTTGACTCATCTTCCTTCTTTTTAAACAGAGAACACGGCCGCTATCCCAATTGACTAGTAACTTTTCACACACTCTGAGCCTTTCTTAACCAACACTTCGTATCTGATAAAACTAACGTTCTGTAGCTCTCTATGCAAGGAGTCAGAACATTTTCTCTTTTTTATTTATTTATTTTTTGAGACAAGATCTCACTCTGCTGCCCGGACTGGAATGCAGAGGCACCATCTCAGCTCATTGCAGCTTCAACCTGCAGAGTCTCAGGTGATCCTCCCACCTCAGCCTCCCAAGCAGCTGGGACTACAGGGGTGCACCATCATGCCTGGCTAATTTTTGTATTTTTGGTAGAGATGGCCACATTGCCCCAGACTGGTCTCGATTTCCTGGGCTCAAGCAATCTGCCCGCCTCCACCTCGCAAAGTGCTGGGGTTACAGGCAAGAGCCACCGCAGCCGGCCAGAATTTTCTCTCTAAAAGGCTAGACAGTCAATAATTTAGATTTAAGTTTCCTACGGGGAACAAAGGGAGAGAGGAGGGCAGGCAGGCATAATCTTACCTGTTTTGAAGGAAACCTGCGCCCCACCAGCAGTGATAAATTCTATGTTCCCAAGATGCAGTATACCAGCAAGCAGCCTCGACACTTCCCGAACTTCCTCCTTGCTGAACTGCATCACGTCCATTGCCGTCTAGAAGAAAATAAATGTATTTAGTTTTGTTGTTTTTCCCACTGAAGAAAATGTAGAATACCCCTGATGATATAAAATTACTATGTGTTATTGAAAAGGCAAGGAAAAAAAAATAGATGCATAACCACTCACTTGTTTTTTTGTTTTGAGAGAGAGTCTTGCTCTGTCACCCAGGCTGGAGTGCAGGGGCACAATCTCGGCTCACTGCAACCTCCACCTTCCAGGTTCGAGCGATTCTCGTGCCTCAGCCTCCAGAGTAGCTGGGATTACAGGTGTGTGCCACCATGCCTAGCTAGTTTTTGGGTTTTTTTTTTTTTTTTTGCATTTTTAGTAGAGACTGGGTTTCACCACATTGGTCAGGCTGGTCTCGGACTCCTGATCTCAAGTGATCCACTCACCTTCGCCTCCCAAAGTTCTGGGATTACAGGCGGGAGCCACCGCACCCGGCCCATAATAACTCACTTTTAAAACGATGAGGACTTTACATAGTACACATAAAAGGAGGAAGATAAAGAACTATAGCATGTTCAGAGATAATCAATGAAATAAACATAGTGTCTGCCTTACATACAAGTCTTCTATATATGCTACAAAAGAATTACTTCAGGCAGTCAGAGTCATGACAATAATAAAGAAATAGTTTTTTGTATAGTTATCAGAGTGGATGAAAATTCTGTTATCTTCTTTAGATGTAAAAATGTGGAGAGGGAGTACTTGGAGAGGGGGTGTTTTTCCGTTTGGTTTTTTTTTTTTTGGTAGAGATGGGGGTCTAACTATGTTGGCCAGGCTGGTCTCGAACTCCTGGCCTCAAGCAATCCTCCCACCTTGGCCTTCCAAAGTGCTGGGTTTACAGGCATGAGCCACCATGCCAAGCCAAGAATTTTAAAAAATTAGCCAGGTGTGTTGGTGCATACCTGCAGTCCCAGCTCGTGGCTTGGCTGAGGCAGGAGTATTGCATGAACCCAAGAGGTCAAGGTTACAGTGAGCTATCACCGCATGTGTACTCCAGCCTGGGAGCCTGGGTGACAGAGTTAAGACTCTGTCTCTTAAAAAAAAAAAAAAAAAAATTAAATAAATGCTGATGGAAAATCTAAATAGATGTGGACGTGTCTTCATCACGGCTCTATTTTTAATTTCTCCAAAGGATTTTTTTATGGTCTTATCTTGGCCTGAGGATACTAAGTGGAAGTTAACATGATGCTGCTCGGGGAAAAATAAAAATAAATCGGCACTTACAGGAATCTGTTACAACAACAAGTATCTAAACAACTGAAGCCACGGGTTTTCTGAATCATATCTAAGATTTGCTAATTTTCTATTGTGACCGAGGAGCTGTATTCTTGTGACCAAAAAAAGCTATTAAAAAGGAAAAGAAAACCAGACACACATACACACCAACCAGGGGGCAGACTTGCTGGTAATACCATGAAAATGACCTACAAAAAGAACCTGGACTCACACAAGGACCATAGGAGAGTGGTAAGAAGGAAACCACGCACCACCCTGAAGCAATAGAAATTGCAAAAGGAAACAACTGGAGATTAGCACTGCAAAAAGTTCAATTGCTTTTCCTTTCCTTTTTTTTTTTTGAGACAGAGTTTCGCTGTTTTGCCCAGCCTGAAGTGCAGTGGCACCATCTTAGCTCACCACACCCTATACCTCCCAGGTTCAAGCAATTCTCCTGCTTTAGCCTCCTAAGTAGCTGGGATTACAGGCATGCGCCACCACATCTGGCTAATTTTTGTATTTTTAGTAGATACGAGGTTTCTCCATGTTGGTCAGGCTGATCTCGAACTCCCAACCTCAAGTGATCTGCCCACCTTGGCTTCCCAAAGTGCTGGGATTATAGGCGTGAACCACCACGCAAGGCCAAGATTAATTTCTTTATAAAGAAAATGCAATAATGCCAGAAAAAAAAAAAAAAAGACCAACAATGGAGAGGGAAAGAATTAAAAGACCCACTGACATATACATGAGTGACAAAAATAGGGAGAAATGCAAATCCAGGGTACTGTTTTCCTTCCTAGAAATCGAACATGTACAAATTAAGGTAAATATGAGATCAGTTCTGTCAAATTAGCAAAAAATTTCAGAATGATAAAGATTAGTAGAAAAGAGACATTTATACAATGGTTGTTAGTACTATAAAATAGTATAATCTTTTTGGAAAACAACATGATTATCTGACAGAATTGTCCTAACTATATAATATGTATATAATATTAGAATTTTCATATCTGAGAGAAAAACCAACAACAAAGGTTCAGAGGAGGAAAAATAACTTTCTCAGGGTCGCACAACCTAAATTCAAAGTCCGGCCCAACTGACTCAAATCTAGGAACTTACTATAATTATTTATTACTATTTTGATACAGGGTCTCACCCCCGTCACCTGTACTGGCGGGCAGCGGTGTGATCAAGGCTTACTGCAGCCTTGACTTCCCAGGCTCAGGTGATTCTCCCACCTCAGCCTCCCGAGTAGCTGGGACAACAGGTGCACACCAACACACCTGGCTAAATTTTTGTATTTTTAGGAGAGACAGGGTTTCACCATGTTGCGCAAGCCTGTCTCAAACTCCTGCGCTCAAGCAATCTGCCCACCTAGGTCTCCCGAAGTGCTGGGATTACAGGCATGAGCCACTGACTGTGCCCAGCCAGGAACTTATTATTATTATTATCATTATTATTATTATTGACCCAACTCTGTTACTTTATAAAGACATAAAAAAGAAATTGATATAATCTCCAATAATTTCAATGCTGGAAATTTGCTTCAAGGAAAATTTCAAGAGCAGAAAAAAAAACCTTTAGAAAATATTCACTACAGTGTTACCTTAATAACACTTTCACAGAAAAATAATTCTAATTATTCTACAATTAGACAAGTCAAATATAGTAAGTTACATAAATATTGCATACTTTTTTTTTTTTGAGATGGAGTTTCACTCTTGTTGCCCAGGCTGGAGTGCAATAGTGCGATCTCGGCTCACCGCAATCTCCGCCTTCCAGGTTCAAGTGATTCTCCTGCCTCAGCCTCCCGAGTAGCTGGGATTACAGGCATGTACCACCACACCTGGCTAATTTTGTATATTTAATAGAGACAGGGTTTCTCCATGTTGGTCAGGCTGGTCTTGAACTCCTGACCTCAGGAGATCTGCCCGCCTTGGCCTCCCAAAGTGCTGGGATTACAGGTGTGAGCCACTACGCCCAGCCTATTGTATACTTTTTAAAGAAAATTATGCACATTATATAGAGAAACAGTTATATTTATGGTAGCTTTTTGTAAAAAAGCAAAAAAAGCTATTTTGTACCCATATTATTTTAAAAACTCAGGCTGGGAAGAGAATTTACAAATCTGAAACTAGTTCCAATAGTTACTGTTAAGGGTTAACTGTGAGTTAACAGTGTTGGTAAGCTCATGAACATTCTATTCTGTCGTGTCTTTTAATGTTGCTGGCAATAAATATGTTTACAACAAAAACTGAGACAATCAATGGGTGAATGGTTCAACAAACTACTGTCTATTCAATGGAATACCAAAAAAAGCAGTGAACAGTGATACGTGCCACATGGATGGCTGGAGGAAGCTGGATACAGGAGACTACACAGTGTGTATTTTCGTTACGTGGAACTCTAGAGAAGATAACTGTACACTAGAGGGACTGAATTAGATCAGCAGTTTCCTAGGGCCAGGTGTGGGGGGTTGGGATTGCCTGGGAAGGGGCACAGAGAAACTTCTGAGGCAGAGGATTCCCTTTTATCTTGATCATTGTGGATAAATGGGTGTGTAAATTCAAAATTCACTGAAATGTACACTTTAAATGGATGCATTTAATTATGTGTTCATTATATCTCAATAAAGTTGATTATAAAAATTAAAATACCATAAATTACTTAAAGGTGGGAAGGCTATCATTTCATGCGTACAAACAGAAAGAAAAATAACTATTTGCCAAGTGCTTATCAATTTAAAAAAGCCTATGAGAAAATAATCATTCAAATTTAGAGATACTTATCAGTGACTTCTTCTAAAAGGTAAAAGCAAAGAAATGCGGTTAAGATACACAAAATAATTTGTTATTCTTAAGACTTTTTAAACTGTGTTAAAGACCGTATCAGATATCAGCAAAATAATTAAAATGCACCTACACTGTGCAAAAGTTAAATTTTTCCCTTTCTATGATTAAAGTTTTCTTCATATATGACAAGATATACTCATAACTAATATACAATCATTTTCTAGCCTGGCAACATAGCAAGAACCCTTTTTTTTTTTTTTTTTTTTTGAGACGGAGTGTTGCTCTGTCACCCAGGCTGGAGTGCAGCGGTGCAATCTCTGCTCACTGCAAGCTCCACCTCTCCTGCCTCAGCCTCCCGAGTAGCTGGGACTACAGGCGCCCGCCACCTCGCCCAGCTAGTTTTTTTTTTGTATTTTTAGTAGAGACGGGGTTTCACCGTGTTAGCCAGGATGGTCTCGATCTCCTGACCTTGTGATCCGCCTGCCTCGACCTCCCAAAGTGCTGGGATTACAGGCTTGAGCCACCGCGTCCGGCCAGCAAGAACCCCATTTCTAAAAGAAATTAAAAATTAGTGTGCTGGCATACAACTGTACTCCCAGCTACTTGGGAGGCTAAGGCAGGAGGATCACTTGATCCTAGGAGTTCAAGGGTGCAGTAAATCATTATCACACCACTGTACTCCAACCTGGGCAACAGAGTGAGACTCTGCCTCAAAAAAAAAAAAAAAAAAAAAAAAAAAAGAAGTGAAATAAGTAGAAAATTTTTAACTGCCAAATAAAAAATATTGACACATACCCCATAAATAAAAATGCTTGGTTAAGTTCTAAAAAAAAAAATACAAAGGTTGTATAAGAAGATATTTAAGCAAATGAACAAAATAAATGTGCTTACTATATTAATAAATTTGTGGACTTCTCTGCTTCCGGTCTAACTCTTAAGTGATTGGGTAAGTAGTAGAGTCGTGATAAGTGGCAACTGCAT